GCCTGGGAGTGGTATGAAAAATCATAATAAGAACAGCACCATTAAGCTGTGTTACTTGCCTGATGCACCATTGCTTTGGAGATTAAAAACTGAATTTTAAGAAGAACAAAACTTATCTTGAGGAAGTATAGGTCCCCTGAGTTATCACTTTGAAAGCTAACAGAATCAACTAAAAATTTTAATAGATTTCTCTTTGTTTCCACTGAAAGAAAAACAGTAGGATTCTAACATTTAAAATAAGGCTGGCTGTTTTCAGAGCAGTAGCTCCACTTCTCTGGCCCTTTTCCTTTTGACCTCTGCCCTCCATCAAGGTCAGCCCTGTTCTGGGCTCCACATCCCTCCTGAAACAGTGCCAGAAGGAGGCAGGCAGGAGAGTGTGGGAGTTGACCACCTCAAGCTTCAGATACATGGGTCAAGGTTGGGTCCCACCTGTACCTCCAGCTACCTGTGTGGCCCTGACAGTGGGGAAAATGACCAGATGTATCCTAGGCAGGGTGCCATGGGGGCGGCCCTCCTTACCCTCAACCAGCCCCTCTCCCCCCATTCACCACCTCTGACTGCCCTGGGAGGTGGCCTCACCCTCCCCATAAGGGCTGGTCCAGTGTCCCCTCTGTCTCCTAATCCCCCCAGGGAGAAGATACCCACACTCTTCATCTCTCCCAGACACTGGAAACTGACTTCTAACCTTCCCCCCACCTCTACCAGTGGGAAAAGAGCCCCACTTTCGAAGTCTGCTGGATTTAAATCCCTCACTCTGAGATACTTCCAACTCCAAGTTTACAACGAACTACCTATGACATGCAACTTAAATCACATCTGCTTATCTAGCTTGGGGCCAGAAAGGGCTGTGAGAACATCAAATTTTAAATCTCGGAAACCCTGAATCCTTGAATTTTGTGTCCACTGTGGTTTCCAGCAATCTCTAGAGCTAAGTGATTAATTATACACAAGACAGTCCAAAGCAATTATTTAATTAAGATGTATTCTAGGCTGCCAATGGTTTGCAGCAAAGGGAAAAACTTCACCCCAGTTTCTCAACATCTGGCCCTTGAATGACTTAAAAGATAAAAGGAGATACCAGAACAATTTTATGACTGAATAACAATTTCTAGAAATTTTCCATTAAGTAGAAAAGCTTCTTCAGTCATATGCTTCTCGTGATTAGAACTTGGTGACATGTTTTACTGTAAGTGTTCAGCTTATTGAAATCTAATGCAAAATAGAAAATGTTGCAATACATACAAGAGATGCTGGTGTCATTTTCTTTTTGAGGCTGGAAAGTCAGTTTTCTCGCCAATCTCTCTTTCCCCTCCAAGTGTATTATTCATTTTCCACTTTGCCCTGGCCTCTTTTTTAAAAGAGCTTTTTCTTAATTGAGCCTTTTACAAAATCAACTTTAATAAACAGAAATCCCCTACTACCCATTCTTAACTTAGGAGTCTAAGTTTTAGTTCATAAAGAACTTTTCAAAGAAAAAAAAAAACATTGCAAGCCTCCCCAGAGTTGATGACCAGAGTTGCGTCTGTGTGTCTGTATGGTCTACTTTGAGATTCTTGAAGACACTCGTTGGAGGGGGTGGGGGAGTGGTAAGGGGCCAGGGAGTACAAGAGAACAGCTCTAAGTAATGACTTTCTATCAATCTGTGGGATTCGAAATAAGCCAAAACGTCTTCAGTTACTCCAGCCCGCATTGTTTCCCCGTCTCTGCACAGTTATGCCGTCGGCGTTGGTAACACACAGCTTCACTCGCCAGTGTTTTCCAAGTGCCTCGTGTGTCTCAGTGATCAGCTCAGTCAGGCTGTGATCAGCCTGCATGTGACTGTGCTGTTTCTTCCACCGCTTTTGAGACTTCACAAAACAGGACCAGTGGAGTAAGCCAGTTGAATAATAATGAACTGATTAGTGTGTGTGGGTTTACCAGCTGTGTTCAAAATAAATATTTGCCTAATTCATACCTTCTCCTGTTATGCCATTTGAGTATTGGAATACAGTCATTCCATTAAAATATAAGAATGATTAAATGGTCACTTGTAAGTAAGTTATCACTAAGTGCAGGATGAGTGAATGGCTGAACAAATAAAGGAGCAATAGTGGAAGACATTTTCCAATCTCTTTCCTTTGGAAACAAGCTCAGATTATCTGAAAGAAACTGATGGAGCACCTGACTTTTTCAGCTGTTACTTAAAGACTAAGCTATTTCTCAAATCCTTGGGTTGAGGCTATATAAATCATGTGTGAGAACTGACTCCCTACACCTGGAGTCCATGGACCTCATCCATGGTTTTGAATCTCCTTAAATTTTCTGCAAAATATTATGGATCTATGTATGTGTGAATTCTCCTGGGAAGAGTATAAGGAGTTTCATGTCTCAAAAAAGGTTAAGAGTCACTGTGTTTTAAGTGTCTATTTACAATCAGATGAATTTTGCATGAAAATTGTGTTCATTTATGATTGTGGTCAACTTGATTGGTAACAGAAGTTGCTAGATGTGTGGGAACTCTTGGAGCTGCCAGTTTGCTGTTACCCAAATTTCCATTTCTCTAAAGAAAAACTAATTTCAACATCAGGAAGAGCCTGTTTAAAGAATTTCCTGTTCCACGTTGGTAAAGAGAAAGACAAAAACCAACCTGTAGGCTGATGTTCCCCCATCACTGGAAGGAAGCTGACATGGCTCATTTCCAGGAAGTAGAACACAGCCTCAGTGACAGATTTTCTCTTCTTGGGCTCCAAGTTCACTGCAGATGGTGACTGCAACCATGAAATTAGAAGATGTTTGCTCCTTGGATGAAAAGCTATGAAAAACCTAGACAGTGTATTAAAAAGCAGAGACATCACTTTCTCTACAAAGGTTCCTGTAGGCCAGTAGTCATGTACAGATGTGGTCTTTCAAACTGTGGTACTGGTGAAGACTCTTGAGAGTCCCTTGGACAACAAGGAGCTCAAACCAGTCAATCCTAAAGGAAAGCTACCCTAAATATTCATTAGAAGGACTGACACTGAAGCTGAAGCTCCAATAATTTGCCACTTGATGTGAACAGCTGACTCATTGGAAAAGACCCTGATGCTGGGAAAGATTGAAGATTGAAAGCAAAAGGAGAAGAGGGCGGCAGAGGATGAGATGGTTGGATGGCATCACCAATTCAATGGACATGAACTTGAGCAAACTCCAGGAGATAGTGAGGGACAGGGAGACCTGGTGTGCTGCAGTCCGTGGGGTTGCAAAGACACAACTTGGTGACTGAACAACAGCAGGACACAGTCTTGGCTCTGTCCTTCTCCAGGAGGTCAGACATGCCTCAGGGTCTGCGAGCTCATGCCACCTTCTGTCTCTGCAAGTTAAAATATTTAGCATATGTGTCTATTTTTAAAAAGAACTTATACTTTTAGGGACCTCCTTGGTGGTCCAGTGGTTAAGACTCTGTGCTGTCACTGCAGGGGGCTCAGGTTCAATCCCTGGTCGGAGAACTAAGATACTGCACAGCCCAAATAAATAAATAAAGTAAAATAATTTTTTAAAAAGAATTTATACTTTTATTCCCGAATGTAAATGTTAACACAAAGGGTTCTTTCTTCATTATTGTCACTCCAAAAGAAGCATAGCTATCTTCTTAATGCTACGTTTGGTATCACGGAGCCACAGATGGCCAGGATGGGGAGAGACATGTGAACAAAGCATAGGGCCTTCCTGAACGGTCAGCCTTTGGATGGGTGCGTTAACAGAAGCCTCACCCTTGGGTCTGCCGTTGTCAGTAATAAAGAGCTGCTGCCATTCGAGCCCTGCCGCACAGCCGGGAAATGGCAGAGCTGGAACTCAAACCAGCTCATTGGATTCGAAGGCCTCCTTGCTGGTCTCGGTGCTGGGACATTCTTCAGGCCTCTGAAGAGCTATATACCTTTAGCCCAAACAGACCCAGACGCAGGCCTCAGCTCTTTAAGGAACAGTTCTGATACTTTGTGCATTTATGTTACATTGGTTCCTTTCTTCACACATTGCCCACAAATTAAATAAGTAAAATACCCCAAGAAGCATCCTTTTTAAAATGCTTTTTTTTTCCCACTGAAGTATAGTTGGCTTACAACGTTGCGTTAGTTTCTTGTGTCCAGCAAGGTGATTCTGTCTTATATGTATAATAGACATTTTCCATTAGAGGTTATTACTAGATAATGAATATAGTTCCCTCTGCTATACACTAGGACCTAGTTGCTATGGATACTATATATAGTAGTTCGTATCTGTTCATCTCAAACCCCTAATTTATCCCTCCCCCTCCTTTGGTGACCATGTGTGTTAGTTACTCAAGTCATGTCCAACTCTACAATCCCATGAACTGCAGCCCACCAGGCTCCTCTGTCTTTGAAATTCTCCAAGCAAGAATACTGGAGTGGGCAGCCATTCCCTTCTCCAAGGGATCTTCCCAACCAAGGAATTGAACCCAGGTCTCCTACATTGCAGACAAATTCCTTACTATCTGAGCTACCAGGGAAGTCCAGTAATAAGTTTTAAAAAAAAAAAGCATAAGTTTATATTCAACCTTATATTAGAATCCTTTAAACTATTTAGGAAATTTTGTTGATCAGAATGAATAATTCAGATATAGGAATTTTCCTTAAAAAAAAAAGATATCCCTTCTGAATCATGTCTGCTAATTCAGATCTATTTACTCTAAGCAGATGAAACATCTTTTGTCTCAACTCTTCTTCCTAGCAATATATCCTTGAGAAGTAAAAAACAGACAAAAGGCATAAAGACTAAATACAGTCTATTCTTTACCATAAAATATTTGAAACGAAAAACTTCTCAGACTTGTTTTCCAAAATATTTGCAAAAATAAGTCAATGCAAGCATATGGCACAGAAATGCCCTTTCCAATTCAGACCCGGGAATATAAATAAATTGATATTTCTTCTTTTATTCTCTCTGTCATTAAGAACTGGGTCTTAGCCATAAACAAGAAGCTGCCCTTAAAAGTTATGTAATCTTTCTTCTTTCTTTTTCAACAGGGGACTCATTACATTTGAAAATAACACCTATATTTTGGAGCCGATGAAAAATGCAACCAACAGATACAAACTCTTCCCAGTGGAAAACTTGCCGGGCACCTGGGGATCGTGTGGATCAAATACGTCGGGCCTCAGTGTGCGCGACAGGCTCCCGCCGGCCTCCCAGACCCAAATAAGAAGGGTAGGAGGAAACACCATGTTACATCCCTGGGGAGTGGGGAGGGGGCTCCAACTAAGGACACCCACCGCTAGGCCATCTGGGGGGAAATTCTGCCATTTGTGTCTGAGGGATGGAGTCACCCACTTTATCTGGAGGTGGTTGATATGAGGTGGGCAGAGCATAATCAGATACTGAAAGCTCCATCATTGTGTTGCAAACGTCAGGGTCAGACTCATTGACCTGTGCTGGGTAGCGCTGGGCTCAGAGGACACAAAATCACCATTCATTGTCTCTGGGGATGACCTTCTGGACTTGGCCCAGAAGTCTGCCCCACCATTACACCCCTCCGTGGTACACAGGACTGGACCAGATCCTCCACACCCTTGGGCAGCCCTGCTTCTATGGGAAGAGAAAGACAATATGGAGGTTTCTCCATGGCCAGTCTTTTTTATATTAGGGTCTTCTTTAGAATTTGGGAAGAATTCCTTGCCATTGCCCACTCGCCTGCCCTGGGTGAACTCAGTCTTGATCCAGAAGTGTGGCTGAAAATGTGTGATGTTTACCCCTAGTCCGTGCTAGCGGGGAGTCTGGGCGTCCCACTTCTCCCCCTAGGTGTCTGCTTTCTGGCCTCCCAGCCCTGGGTCTGCTCATCCCAGTTCTTCCCTTCTGCGGCAGGGCTAGGGACAGAGGTTGCCCAATGGAGTTAGGAGCACAGTCTGCCTCCTGGCTAACAGGTCTCCGCTGCTGCAGCACCAGGGAACCTCCACCCTGAATGGCTGCCTGACCCTTTTACATCAGTGACACAGGGGCTCCACAGACCACAACCCAACCCGCAAAAAGGAGCAAGGGTAGCCCCATCTGACTGGAGGCCCCGAATTCAAAGGGGCACAACCCGACAGGAAGTTATCAGCCATTTACTGATTTCTCATCTCTGTCTTTCCCCTTCCTATGTTGACAAGAAATCCAGAATTCATACATATGATGTCACTTGTGCTTACATTTGATAAGCGCAACTTATCACTTAACGATTAACACTGTTTGTCTCCCCTGACTTTGACAGGTTTTCAAGGTTCCACTTAACACTCTTTGTCTTACCTGACTTTGAGTGTTATACTGCTTACCATTCAAAACTTCATGAAAAGTGTGCCTCTTTGTATTCCTAATCATTTTTCTCCAAATAGTACACATTATCCTAAATGATTTCTTCTTAAAAATTCCTGTTACCTGTGGCTAGCTGGTGTTCCCCTAACCTGCTCTTAACTGAACCACTTCAGCACTTTTCATTTTAATTTTGCATTCATTCTTTTCGTTCTGATTCTGCCCGTGTGACCCTAACTTCCTCTCTTTGTTACTATACTCCCAGGGGTTTCTACTGCAGGTGCGTGCAGTCTTCTTTCCTTGTTCTTCCCCATCACCCTGTGTCAGGCACTATGGCTGACCTTGACATTGACACTCAGTAGGGGAGCTGAGATCCCAACCTCCAGGAATAGGGCTTGACAAGTACCCCCATCACCAGCAGCAGCAGCTCAGAGAATCTTCCTTCTCCTCCCCCAGCCCCTTTTGCAGGGACAGAGTTAAGAGATGGAGTCACAGAGAACAGCCTCTGTGCACCCAGGGCGTGTTTGGTTTATGTTTCAAAGGCTCTCGCCTTTGATTCCAGACCTCAGATAAGATGGGATGAGACCGTAGCCTTCACAGTCATAAACAAGTAGAATATTTGCATTTTGTTTTCGAGGCACCTTGCTTTGAGTACCTCATTGAACACACATTATCCACCTTGTGAGATTTATAACTTGACAGTTTAAATGGCACTCAGATATGTTTGCCATTTCATTTAGAAGTGCACGCCTGGTCGGTCCTGGCTAGCCATATTTTAATTCTTTAACTAAGCTTACAGCTCCCTAGACCTGTGATTGGCACAATAATTTCCAGTCATTTTGACTTGCAGAGAGATGGAGAAAACCTGAATAACAATGGTGTTTTGTTAATAACGCGTATGGAAGCATAAGTGAACCTTTAAATCGAAAGGGGGAACTATCATATGCACTTACACGCCATACTCAGTATTTCTGTCTAGAAAATGTTATGATTGTTTTTATGGACGGGAATGTGTCTTTGACGGGAAACACATCTGTATCATGAAAACAATACCAAAAATAATTTTCACATAAGTGGAATATGTGAGCATTGGAATTGTATACAAGACTGTTTGGTAAACATGAAAAGAAAGTACTCGAGTTCCGTGCCACTTGCCTGCCAGACTTAACACTGCCTTTATCTTATACTCAAAAATCAATGTAACTTCGGCTAACTCCTCTGGCTTATGCACTGCAGCAAATGCATTTGCGTTTCCCTAGCGCTTTTCTGCCCCTATTAAATGTTAACTATTGCAAAGACTGGCTTGCAGGCTGAGATTTTTCTGCAGATGTGTGCGTTTTTCTTCCAGGAGCAGCGGGAATAAATCTGCACTTGGGGTATACACCGGCTATAATATCAGCTTGAGCTATTGTTTGTCATTTTTACAAGGCTCTCTGTTAGATTTTAGGGAGAGCCCAAGTTGCTTCCGGAAGGGTGCCTGCAGTCAGGGGCCTTCCTTACCAGTTCCATTCTCTGCAGGATTTTACGCCCAACCCACAGAGCCCGGGCCACTCAGCCCTCCTGGGACTTCACCCTCCCCCTCCACCAGCTGGTCATTCAAAAATGCAAACGAATTTTAACACAAGCCTGAGCAGTCTCTAAGGAAGGTGAAAGCTGTAAATCTGCTACTGGAGCAAATCACAGAATACAATCCCAGTGGCAGATGTAAATTATTGTTGAATTATCCTCCCTGGGGATTATCTGTGCTATTGTTCCCCTCCACTGGTATGGATAATTGCGAGTCACATGTAGAAGTCACTGCCTTCTCTAAAAAAGCAATGTGCACGTGGTCTATTGCGTACACATAGCAGAGCCTGTCAGGGAGACCCTGTGGGGTTTCCTCAAACACTGCCAAGCTGAAATGGACCAGAGCTGTTGCTCCGGGGCTTCTAGACAGGCTGCCATATTGGTTTCATAGAAGCCGTGGCAGTGGTGCTCGTGGGGGTGGTATTAACAGTAGAATGGATTATCTGTAGAGTCTGGTAAGAGCTGAATATCAGGAAGTAGCCAGAATTGTTGGAAAACTTATTAATTAGAGCAAGCATATTTAATTTCTCTCTACTATAACCACTTCCCTGGTAGCTCAGCTGGTAAAGAATCCGCCTGCAGTGCAGGAGACCCTGGTTCAGTTCCTGGGTTGGGAAGATCCCCTGGAGAAAGGAAAGGCTGCCCACTCCAGTATTCTGACCTAGAAAATTCCATGGCCTATTGGACACAACTGAACGACTTTCACTTTCACTTTCTTTTCACTATAACCACCCCCACGTCAGTACCTCCTCTAAGAGGCATACCAAGTGCCCTTACTGACTTAGTCATTGTTAAATCTTGGTGGATAACACAGCCAGCCCTGCTATTGCTTCCTTAGCCCTGAGCTCTGATCATCTCTCAGTGAGAACCAAGGTTCCAAAATCTCCAGATGTGGATTCCTATTGAGTCTTGAATTGATTAAAACTCTAGAAAAATAAATACTAGCTCTCACTTCTGCCACGGGCGTTTTGGACTCAATTTCAATACTTTGTGTTTGTGCCCATTAACATTCAGTACATCAGACTCGGTTCCTCCTTCCAGCGTTTGTCTCATTTGCTTGTTGGTTCTGCAGCCTGTATATCAGCCAGTCCTCCAAGGCTGTGTTCCATGCAGATATGATCCATGTGCTTCATCCCCATTCTGGTCGTTAGTAAGGATGGTAGAGATGACCTTTCACAGCCAAGACCAGGGCTCAGCTCATAAATACTCATTAAGTGGCCTTAGAGCCAAGGCATAGAGTCTGGCTTGAGTCAACAATGATCTTTCTTTACTAAGAAGGAGATAAATCATTTGATTTGATAAATCGTCTGAGTCACCGAATTTGCTAATCTTGCCGTCTTTGCAGACAGTCCTAGATCCATTGTTATTTTATTGCTGTTGTTTGGTTAAAACATCCAACTTGAATCTGTTTGCCTGGCTCCATCTTTTTACTGCCTCAAACTGTCACCAGTGGTCATCTGCTCCCCCACTTCCACCATTGTCCCCCTATAATCCATTCTCCTCCCATCAGCCAGGGTGATATGTAAAGAACCTCACCTCCAAGGGAGCCCCACTGCTCTCCGACAATTAGGTTACCGGTCAGCCTCCTCGCTATGGGCCCTGTCCTCTGTCCCCATCCGTGGCCACATCTCATCCACGCCCTGCCCTCGCTCGCTAGGCAATAGCCGTCCTGCCTGCTGCTACAACCCAAGCTCTCCAGCCTCAGGTCTTGTGCCCTTCTCATCCCTCCTCCCAGATAGGTTATTTCAGGGGTCTGGCCCGTAGGAAGAGAGAGCTGCACTGAGAATTTATTGCCCCTCTAATCTCAGCTTGTTTGTTCGGACTCAAGTTGAGTTCCCAGAGCCAGAGTTCTTCTTGTGAAAGTGTGTGGGGGCCATTCTTCCCGAGAACTTAAGTGTGACAGTTTTGAGAGGCCATGGAACAGCTTCCCACTTGAGCAAGACTCAAAGAATGCCTCCAACCTTGGAGCAGAAATGGCTGGTCCATTCTCAGAGGCTCCTGTTCTTACCTGTTTGGGGAAGGGTGTTTGTTTCCTCAATCTCCCCCCAACTCAAATGAAAATTCCACCAAGCAACCAGTTTCAAATGTTGCTCTGCGTATCAAACATTTTGAATATGATTTTTTAACTGGATAGTCCAGATAGGTGGGAATCATGTGGAGGTAATTTAAGCCTCTCTGTGTGTGCAGCTGGTGGAAAAGGAACCTCTGCGGCCATGAGCTGGCCACTCCCCTGTGGCTTTTTATTATTATGTGGTTAGGCGTCTCTCTGAGCTTGCAGTTCTCTGCATTCGTGAGAAAATGTGGACTTCTCTGAAAACTGCAGAGACAGGAAAATTGGGCTCATGTGTTTGTTTTCATTATCTGGAATTGTGTATTTTCTAAATGATGATCCAAGGCCATTTGGAACTGTCCCCTGGCCATTCATTTCACCCCTTTGCAGTCTGAAAGGTGTAAACATCTAAGCAACCGGGGCTCTCTCCATGAGTTTTTCGATGGGAGGTTAATTTATGTTTTCTTTAATGGAGCTGTATTTTCTTCTGTAAGATGAGTCTGTGAATGGTAAATCAGGGAATTATGGGGGGAAGAGGCTTCTGCAGTCCACCCCTCGGGAAGGAGGAACCACTTTAAGATGGAGTCTCATTTCGTGTAGACTAGTGGGCACCACGGGGTCTAGTCGTTTTCCCTTTGTGAGTTCGTAGTGGTCACCATGAAACATGCCTACCACATAGTTACTAAACTGAACTTTTTCCCTGTAATGTTGTTAAAGTATGAGAAATTATATCTTTCATGGTGCTTTACTTTCCCCCCCTCCATAAGGTTTCCAGATTTCTTTGAAGTGAAAGTAAAAGTGTCAGTCACTCAGTCGTGTCTGACTGTTTGTGACCTCATGGACTATAGCCCTCTAGGCGCCTCTGTCCATGGGATTCTCCAGGCCAGAACACTGGAGTGGGTTGCCATGCCCTCCTCCAGGGGATCTTCCTGACCCAGGGATCAAACCTGGGTCTCCTGCGTTGGCAGGCAGATTCTTTACCATCTGAGTCACAAGGGAAGCCCTCAGATTTCTTTAGAGATATCAAAATTCATGAGTCGGCACAGCTGGGCAGCAAGCAGGAACACTGCTGTGACACAAACACATTTTTCTTGTAAAAATCTGTTTGGAAGATCCTGCACTGATGGGGATTTGTTTTATAAAAGATGTTTCCCTCAGGATTATGTGACTGGAAAGCTGATTCAGAGCAGGCCTTGGTCATTTTTGCTTTTGTCTGAAAGCCTGGTTGTAACATGCAAGTTTTCAAGGTTAAGCCGAGTGTAGTTAACTCATAAAGCAGCGATATCAGTTATGGGGAGCCAGACCTCTTCAACCCCCATTTCCTCTGACTCCGTTTTATTGCAAAAACAGAAGACTTTATTTTTTGCTTTTAAAGTTGGCTTTTTAAGACCACCCTCCATGAATTGCTCTTTTTTTGTTTTCCTCCGAAAAATGCCTTTGGGATTCTCCTAGTAGTAATTCATGGAAGAGTGTGAGTGTTTTTTGAGGAAACGTGATTAACATGTCACCCACTTCAGAGGCTGCCTTTAATGGGGAGGGAGTTCGTGCTTGGGCCGTCCGCCTCGTCTTCAGCCCTACCTCTTGATAAACAAGGTCCTTATTCTTCTCAACTATTGCACTCTTACCAAATCGCTTTTCTCTGGTGGCATATTTCAGTCTTTTTTTTAATTAAAAATGTTTCTTTCTGTTCTATTTCTTTTGTTCCTTTCTGGTGTTCCTCCTAATACCTCCTCCTTGCCTGGCTCTGTTCTTCTCCAATTTTCCTTTGTGTCTAACCAGATTTTTCAGTGATCAGCCACGAGAAATCAGCCTTCTGGACCGGACTACTCAGTTTTTCCCCAGAAGAGCAGTTCCTGCTTAAAATACATTCTCCTCCAATTTTGTGACATGAGCAAAGCTTTTCTCCTCTGCTTTTCTCACGTCACAAAGCCGGGCCACGAAAGCAAAGGGAACACCCGTGAAACCCTGAATTCCATCGATTTCTATAGTGATCTTGACACGCGCTACATCCAGCCTGAAATGAAGCCGTTGGCTTCTGTCCCAGAGTTACTTGTTGATGTGTGTGTTTTGTTTAATGGTGATTTCAACTCGTTCGGATCCTAAAATCAGTGATCCAGCGCAAAGGTTAGATTCCTTTTTAGGGACTTCCCAGATGGGAATGGAAACTGATGGCTCATGTTGAGATGGTTTTACAGAGGTCACTGGGGTCAGAGGTGAACTCCTAAGTGGAACAGAGGTGTGGAAGCCAGTGTTGTTGGTGGGGGTGGGGTGTCCCTTTAGTTCCGATGCTTCCTTTGAGAGATATTGACAGTATTCTGAAAGCCCCAGAGAGACCGTCAGGAAAATTAAATCCATGTTTAATTTTGGCAGCAAAAAAGAGAGACCCTCAAGATGACCAAGTACGTAGAGCTCGTTATCGTGGCAGATAACCGAGAGGTAAGAACTTTTTTGAAATTTCTTGGTTGATTAAAAAAAAAAACAACCACTACAGGGAAAAGAAAATGTTTAGCGAATTATTACGTGCTTTCGTTAACCTCATTTTCTATGAGGCCTTAAGAGCATTGTGAACAACCCATGGGAAAAAGTGGCTCCCTGATCTTATAAGGTATAAAACATTAAAAATGTATCTGCTATTACAAAATATTAGCAAGGACTGCAGAAAAAAATATCAGCAAGGACTACAGAGCTACCATGTAGCTAAGCTCTCCAAACAGGGAGAATTATTTGTGGAAAATAGCAGATGGTTTTAGAATGTATTCTGAAACACTTTGGGGAAAAGTTTAGTTTAAAAAATTTCCAATATGTTCTAAACCAAAATGAATGAATGAATGAAGGCTATAGAAACACAGCAGAAAAATCCTACCTTCTGAAGTAAGGCTTTATCCCGTGGCTAGTTTTTTTTCTTTAAATTAGTTTTTAATTAGCTCTTTTTTTTTTTAGATTATCTTCTCTGTGTTCATTTCTTGCCTCTCCTACCTATCATGAATTAAGTGACATTTTCTCCCAAGCTGGCTCAATACATATGAATGAAACAGATTTGACAATTTCTCAGGAAACTGTTCCCAGTCTGGAAGGTCAGATTAGAGAAGAGAAGGGGGAATTTATTAACTTTTATCCATTCTCTGTATTGTTTGACTTGCTGCCATGAGCTTCTATTACTTTCACTCTTTAATTTTTAAAAACAAATATAAAAGAAATTTCAGAGGAAGTTCAAATCAAGTCGATGATATGAAGAATGGCTTTGGGCTGCTTTCTGGTTGTCTGTTTTCTCTTTGCCAAAACATGTCACTGCCTCCATCATTTATGAGGCTGGAAAAAATCACAAAAGTTACTGTCTTATGAGCACTTGGCTTGGGTGAATTTCAGGGAGTTTCAGAAAGTCCCTGGACAGGGAAATTACTCGGCAGAATGGGAGCTCACTTCACCATAAACCAGGGAGGGCCCTAGGGGGTTGCAAAGCCCAAGACTTCACATTTCCAGGAGCCGAGAAGATGAGATTTGATTGATGGTCTTACCATTATTAATGCTGACATTTAAAATTATTAAGTTTCAGAGGCAAGGAAAAGATCTGGAAAAAGTCAAGCAGCGATTAATAGAGATCGCTAATCACGTTGACAAGGTAAGTTCTTTGGGGGTAATTAAATCACTCACATCGTGTAAACGTTTGGGAATGAGGTGGAGGGAATGAAACACACCCCATCTGACTTCGGAAGGCCAGCTTCTGCCTCTGGTACCCAACTTCCCCTTCCTCTGAAGACCTCCAGGGCTTGGAGTAGCTGCAGGAGATGCCCCCACGCTGTCTGGACCATGGTGGCCTTGGGATCCACCTCCTTCCATCCTGGTCTCCCCAGCTGGATCCTGAACCAGATGGCACATGTGACCCTCTTGAAAGCACCAAGCGGGCCTCCTCCCAGGTCTCCCTGGGCGAGTCCCACAGGTCTCCTGAGGGTCGGCTCTCATCGATAAGGAACCCACGGGCTTCACAGTCCTGGGATGCAGCAATTGGCTTTCGGCTCAATCTGTGGCTGGAAAATTCTTCACCGTGAACTCGTGAGGGAGCTCACCTTTGCAAAGGTGACTTCAGAGTTGGACAAGATGGTAAAAGTCTGTTCTGGCCCGGGGGTGTTATCTCACTGACTCTCCTTCCATGACCTGTTCACAGCATGAAACCATGTGTGCCCCTGCCTTCAGCAGCACACCCTGAGAGTCAGCTCACTGGCGCTCAGGGCGTTCAGCCCAGAGCCTGCTGGAGTTGCCCAGAAGCTTTCAAAGGAGGGATGGGGGCTGGACATCGGGCTTTGTAGGCTCCCAGGTGGTTCTCATGTGCTACGTGGCTGGCAGCCCCTGTCTGAACACGACCATTATTCTCAGCAGTAAGTCTGTCTCCCGCCTCTGAGCACAGTGGGAACCGGAAAGCGGCCCTGGCTCATCGCTGAAGCTCTCCTGGCGGGGATTCTCTGAAATGCTCACAGTTTACACGTAGCAGTTTGAAGATGCTTCACAGTAGCTGTATTTCCGAGCAATCCTATTATATTTAAATTGACTTTTCAAAGTTTTCAGAAAACTTGAAAGCAAAAGCCCTTCTAGAAATCCAGTTCCATTCTACGAGGCCTTATGGGCAGAACCAAGCACCATGCATCAGGAATTCAGAATGCATCAAATGGGGTCCATCTGCTCAGGGAGGTCACAGCTTTGTAGGGAAGCAGACCCATAAGCCAGAGAAGGCAATGGCAACCCACTCCAGTACTCTTGCCTGGAAAATCCCATGGACGGAGGAACCCAGTAGGCTGCAGTCCATGGGGTCACTAGGAGTCAGACATGACTGAGCGACTTCACTTTCACTTTTCACTTTCATGCATTGGAGAAGGAAATGGCAGCCCACTCCAGTGTTCTTGCCTGCAGAATCCCAGGGATGGCGGAGCCTGGTGGGCTGCCATCTATGGGGTCACACAGAGTTGGACACGACTGACACGACTTAGCAGCAGCAGCAGACCCATAAGCAACTTGGTGTGGTCCAGCGTGTTGGGAACTGGGTGGATGCTGTCAATCAAGTGCTGTGGGGGTGTTTCAGAAGAGAACCGCTTACATCTTCCTGGAGGTCAGGGAGGCTTCGCAGCAAGGCGATTTTGAGAAGTGAGTACCATTTCACCAGGAGCACTCAGCTGGCTTGCTCCCCATGTGTCTGGACGTGTGAGTAACTGTCTACCTAAGCGGTAGTGGGTGTGTATGCATACAAGCACATACATGAGTGTGTGTGTGTGCATGTGGAAGATGGATATATGTGCGTGCACAGTTAAGGCAGGAGGAGATGAAGCTGCAGGGGGTTCACTGGTCAGAGTCCTGGGTGCTTTGCAAAGCCATCTAGACTCCACTGGGATTTAATTCTGCTCTCAGTGGAAAGCCAGGAGAGTGTTTTTAAGCAGAGGAGATGCGCAGGGTCACACACAGCGGTGCCTGCAGTTAGAGTGGAGGATGGCATCACCAGAGTCAAAGAGGGCTGGCGGGCTTCTGTTGTATAGAAACCGTGAAGATCTGACCTGGGTCTGGGGAAGTGGGGATTCAGAGACACTTGAAGGAGGGGTGCCTGATAAGTGTACTGAGACGTTTCTACATGCCAGGGTCTCAGTGCTTTGCAGACACCTCCAGGTAGACATCAGCATTCCCATTTTTATAGCAGAGGAAGCTGAGGTTTGCAGAGGCTGGTTAAGTAATCAGCACATGTTCGAGCAGCATTAAAAGGCAGGACCAGGGGTGAGCCCTGGTCTCTGTGACCCCCCGCCTCTGCAGGAGTTTTTGGCCTTGTCTCTACCCGCTTTCTATGGATCTCAGCCTGCCCTGACCAAGCAGAAGCAGAGGCTGAGAAGAGCTGGAGTCCAAATGAGCACAAGTTTGGGATGAGAGGTGGATGAGACTTCGTGCCCAAAGAAGCAAGAACAGGGGTCTCCTGGGGTACCCTGAGCAGTCGGAGATAAGGGCTTGGGGCTCAGAGAGTGGCTGTGGCTGGAAGGAGCTTTCTGAAACCAGGAAGAACACAGATGGCTGTTGGCATCCTGGGATCATTGGATAATACCATCCGCATCCACAAGATCTTTTAGGCAGGTCAGACTCCCAGGCAGCGCATGCTTGCGGATGTATTTTGAGTAACTTGTTTTTGAAAATTCAACTTGATCCCCAAGTAAAGTGGATGTAGGAGAATTTTTGTTACTGGCCAGTCCTTCTGGAAGGGAGGGTGAAGGATGGATCCCAGAGGCTATGCCAGAGACCATACGAGTCAGAACTCTCCACCATGACCCATCTGTCTTGGGTGGCCCTGCATGGCATGACTCAGCGCTTCACACTTTGGCCACCTGATGTGAAGAAGCAACTCACTGGAAAAGACCCTGCTGCTGGGAATGAATGAGGAGAAGCGGGTGGCAGAAGATGAGATGGTTAGATAACATCACTGACTCAGTGGACATGAGTTTGAGCAAACTCCAGGAGATAGTGAAGGACAGGGAAGCCAGTGTGCAAAGAGTTGGCCACAGCTTAGAGACTGAACAACAATAGGAGTCAGACCTGGTCCTGGCCCGGGCTGGGCATTAGAGTCCCCTCGCTAGGTTGGTTTGTTTATGTGAATGTATGTTAGTATCTTTGCTTTCAAAATGCTGATTCCAAGTCTCAGTCCAGGGACTCTGGTTTGATTGACCTGGGTGGGGCCTCGGGTGAGTACCTTCCAGATGCCTCCAGTGAGGCAGGACCAAGAATCCAAGAATTCAAGAACTTCTTAAGCCTTGGAAGTAAACAAAACCATGAACAACATTAAACTTAAGCTGGTAATTGCTGAAATCCTGTTTTAAAGTGATATGCTTGGTCTTCCATATTTGTATTTCTTTACATATTATTCTGTATTATTTCTTGCTTCAGTTTGCAGAAGCAGGAATGAGCAACTGGGGGGTTGTTAATAACCTGCCCTGGTATTTAGAAAACCACATATCTGAGAAAAGTCCTGACAGACTCAGGGGCTTTAACCAGCACGCCTGTCCTGTGTTTCTAGCAAGCACAGAGCTGAATGACTGAGCACGCGTATGTGTCTGTCCACAACAGACCCAGAAGACCCACAGGGGTATCCCAGGCTCCATCGGATGCTCTGGGCACCCATGTCTGCAAAAAACTGATGGGCTCTGGGCTGTTGCGAGTGTTCCAGATGTAGTTTTGCAACTACAAGTGGGAGCATCTTGGCTTAAAAAAACGACGACTGTTCCAGTGGCAACTTCCTCATTTGCAGAAATCTTGGCTCTTCTTAGCTATTCTTAAGTAATAACTACTTGGCTGGCTGTGTTGGCTCCAAGGGAAGAGGGGAGGGACGTCCCAGACCAAGAGTCCGAGAAGTGATTTAGGGACAGAGGTGACATTCAGAACAACTCAGGCAGTTCCCCTGAGTTGGAACGGGGAAAACGTGTCTGGTGCTCGAACTGGCAGACACACCCCTTACCTGGGAAAGAAGACGTTCCCCAGGCCCCAGTTACACCACGGGGCGGGACCAGTGGGCTGTGTGGCTGCCAGATGATGTCATTGCCCCCTTCGACTCTCCCTCCTGTCTGTCCTACTTCTTATTTGTGATGACGTTAGCACCAACTGCCGGTGCGTGCCGGCTGCACCTCTGTGCCCTACTTCTGAAGGACTGGCTCATCTTGCATGCATTTAACTTCAGGTGTTTTCTCCCTTGTGTGGGTCCTCGCCCCCGGCCCTCCCAGGCCAGTTGCCTGCAGGATGCATGTCCCTGTGGTGGAGCCCGGCACACCGCCCTGTAATCCTACCCGTGTGTTCTCAGATCCACTTCTCAAAAGTCTTCTTGGAGCCCTCAGGTCCAGCATCCCCTGAACTTCCTGTCTGCACCCTTCTTGGCAGTTCGGTGGATTGGATTTTCCTGTAATAATGGCTAGGAGTCCTTTGCCTCGAGCATCTGGCTGACCCCTGAGCATTTGGGAGTCAAGGTCAAGGGTATCCTAAACCTTGTTCTTGGTGCCAATGCCAAGCTGAGCATGCAAGCAGATGCTTGTCGCTGCTGGGCTAATGGGTGAATCAATTTAGCAGGCCTTGGGCCATGGCCACGTACATCCTGGGATTCACAGGCCAGACAGGCAGCTGCTACACTCTTTGTGTGCTTCTTGCTGGGCCTGGGGTCACAGTGGATCATCTTGGAAGGGAATCTGAGCACTCCCCTTTACCTGGCTGGGTTACGGAGCAGTTTTTAAAACCTGGGCACCAGCCTGCCTGTGTTTAAACGCCAGCTATGCCAGTCATGGCTGGAGTGGTTCACCTCCTCCATGTCTCAACATCCTTGACAGTAACATGGAAACAACAGTAGTGCTTAACTCAGAGTGCTGTGAGGTCTAAGAGAGCACATGGAAAGTTTTTGGTACGGGGCCTAGGGCGTATGGCATGCTCATATGTGTTAGCTGTGACCATTGTTATCAGGAAGAACCAGTGGGAAGCCACCCACAGTCTGGGGAGAGCATCCCAACAGGCAGCTAAGGGGTTCTGTGTGAAGGCATGGTGTACATTCAGCATATGTGAGTGTTCACCAGTTTTAGAGAGGAGGGGCTCTGTTATATGCTTCTAGATATGGAATTTGTTCAAAGGATATAATTTGAGAGGACTAATAGCTGGTCATGTATGGATGTGAGAGTTGGACTGTGAAGAAAGCTGAGCTTTCTTGATGCTTTTGAACTGTGGTGTTAGAGAAGACTCTTGNGCTCCAATACTTTGGCCACCTGATACAAAGGGCCAGCTCATTGGAAGAGACCCTGATGCTGGGAAAGATTGAAGGCAAAAGGAGAAGGGGGTGGCAGAGGATGAGATGGTCAGGCAGCATCACTGACTCAGTGGACATGAATTTGAGCAAGCTGTGGGAAACCGTGGAAGACAGGCAGGCCTGGCATGCTGCGGTCCGTGGGGTCACAAAGCGTGAGACCAGCGACTGAACAGCAGCAATAGTAGATGAAAACTATAACCCATCGTTACTGTGCAAGATCCCGATTAGTCAGCCCCAAAGTTAACTCTGAGAAACACTGCTAGTTGGACCTTGACAGACGTTAGTGACCACTTCCATACGACAGTCTCCAGAGGCAAGCAAAGTGTCCCCTGCATGGATGACAACACCGCAGTCCACACTGGCATGTGGCCCTGAGGATGTCTCGTAGCGGGCTGGTGTGGACACGGGTGACTGGATGGCCTGTTTCTGCCTTCGCATCTCTGTTCCATTTGTCTGAGCGCAGCTGAAAGTGTAAGCTCTCCAGCAAAGTGCGGCAGCCAGGCACATGTGTGCAGAGTTCCCAAGGAGGCCAGGAACTTAATTTTTCCTGGGAAGCCTGGGCTGGGAGTTGCAAGGGGATACCACAGGCCAAGCAACTCTTGATTAAAAACAAGCTGTTGGGCAGCATTTGGGTCATATAATTGTCTCATTAACTTATTAATGTAATGCCCATAATTGTTATCTGCTTGAAACCAAGTTGGACCGCTGTGATCCGTTTATACTCTGTGATGTAGTTTGTGCTTCAGCCACATTCTTCTACTAACCTAATGCTCACCAGATGACTGGTGGGGAGGGTGGGGAGAATGAAGATCAGCAAGGGAAAAGATGAGCCTGCCTCTCGTGGGTCAGAACCCGGGGTCAGCGCTCAGCCTCATGGAGTTTATGGCCCTTGAGCTCAGCACGTTGGAATGGGGCTTAACTATCAGATGTGGTGCTTCTGTGATTTCTGTTCCTTATTGGCTCAGAGGCTTCTAGCAACTAAGAATAGGAGCTGCTCCTATCTGGAGCTTAACTTCCACTGCCATCACCAGCCACCTCTTTCTCCTTGGATACCTGGTGTACAGCCAGCCAGGTGATTCCCACGTCCTTACCCCCTGGGCCCCCAAGCACAGAGCCACCTCTGTGTCTGTGTGATGCTCAGAGGAGTAGCAAGGCAGTTGTGGACCATGGGGAGTTCTTACCACTGCCGTGACTGCTGTGTGTGCTGATTCTTTGAGACCCCAGGGACTATAGCCCACCAGGCTTCTCTGTCCATGGAATTCTCCAGGCCAGAATACTGGAGTGGGTTGCCTTTCCCTTCTCCAGGGGATATTCCAAACCCAGGTCTCCTGCATTGCAGGTGGATTCTTTACCAGCTGAGTCACAAGGGAAGCCGAAGAATACTGGAGTAGGTAGCCTATCCTTTCTCCAGCAGATCTTCCTGACCCAGGAATAGAACCAGGATCTCCTGCATTGCAGGCAGATTCTTTACCAACTCAGCTATCAGGGAAGCCCACTTTCTACAGGGTCATTCCTAAAAGCAAGTTCGTCTTGGTTAAGTTTGACACCCAGTCCCCCTAGGGTGAGAGGCAGGATGAGTTCAAGCTTCTGGCTGAAAACTCAGCTTCCGGTGATGTTCTTCTGGTGGCAGAGGTGGGGATCTCAGATTATGGTGACAAGGGCTGAATATGAGCTGAGTGAGCGATACACACTGGACAAAGGGAACTAGCCAGACTTCTACCTCTTACCTCTTCCGGGATGGGGATGTTGAGAACCCAGTCCTGTATAGTGGGGCAGTTAAGGTTGGAGCCATCCAGTGCTGGCTGAAGGGACATGGGCTCTACCAAGGAATGCCTGGTTGCCTGCCTGCATATGACACCTTCACTGGGGAGTTCATCGGAGCCTGCCAGTCCCTCTTGAAGCAGGGGCAGGAGAACCAGTCAGTGTGAAGGAAACCAACAGGAAGTGGGCCAAGCGGTACCTTAAGATCATGGGAAAGATCGTGACCCAAGGAGATTTCCCAGCATCAGAGATGACCCGGATCACCAAGCTGGTTGAGAAGAACAAGACAAGCGATGGGAAGAAGGAAAAACTCCAGAAGAGCTTCAACATTTTGACTGCCTTCCAGAAGAAGGCAGGAGGAGGAGCTTGAGAAGGCACTCCAGGCTTTTCCAGGGTGTGGTGAGGTGGGGAGGGGTAAATTACCTTCGGGCTGTGAAACCTGGGGTATAAGGGAGTGGTAGAAAAAGTGGCAGGAAACGAGAAATCTGAGTGTGCACGGATACTGACACTGGTGTGACCGTGCTTGGAACATCTCTGTAGCCAGTCGTGGACAGCTGGGACACTTAGATGGCTTGGAAAATACCCCCTCAGAAGGAACTGGTGCTATAAAGAAGAGTATACTGCCCACGTTCTTGACAGGTATGATTCTGATCCAATTAAAGTTTCAGTGTTTTCATTAAAAAAAAGAAGAAGAATACCAGAGTGGGTTGACATTTCCTCCTCCAGGGGATCTTCCCAGCCCAGGGATTGAACTTGCATCTCTTGTGTCTCCTGATTGGCAGGTGGATTCTTTACCCCTGCGCCACCTGGGAAGGCCCCACTCTGACCGCTCATCCTGCCCCAATAAGCTCATCTGGCTCAAAACTCTCCCTTAGTCATTGGATCAGTTGTTCTGCCTGCTGACCCAAGATGACCTGTTTGTGGAGAACGGGCTGTAGGTTGAATCAGGACACAGAAAGATGGGGGATGGAAAAGCAAGAAGCTGTGGTTTGTGTGCCAGAAGGAGTGAGGGGTTTCCTTTACCAGATCTTTCCCATGATGATATTGGTGAACGAAAGTCTGACCTGTGGGAAAAAATGGTCCTCAAAGTTCCTGAAGAAGAATTCTGTGTCTGCCTTTATCATCCTGAAAGATATTGATCTGTCCATTTAATTAAAACCTACTAGGTCATTTACAGGTGACAGAATATGATAGCATCGGCCAAGTCTGAGTCTTTGCTGAGAACAATACAGATTCATTTTCCGTAACTCGTAGGTAGAACATTTTGCTTAAAAGGAACAAATTACTGTGCTTGGCAGAGTGTCTGAACGATCCTAACCCACTTGTTGTTTTTCTTGCAGTAGATATGAGCTAGCAATCTTCAGCTCCTGGGGTATAAGGGAGTGGTAGAAAAAGTGGCAGGAAACGAGAAATCTGAGTGTGCACGGATACTGACACTGGTGTGACCGTGCTTGGAACATCTCTGTAGCCAGTCGTGGACAGCTGGGACACTTAGATGGCTTGGAAAATACCCCCTCAGAAGGAACTGGTGCTATAAAGAAGAGTATACTGCCCACGTTCTTGACAGGTATGATTCTGATCCAATTAAAGTTTCAGTGTTTTCATTAAAAAAAAGAAGAAGAATACCAGAGTGGGTTGACATTTCCTCCTCCAGGGGATCTTCCCAGCCCAGGGATTGAACTTGCATCTCTTGTGTCTCCTGATTGGCAGGTGGATTCTTTACCCCTGCGCCACCTGGGAAGGCCCCACTCTGACCGCTCATCCTGCCCCAATAAGCTCATCTGGCTCAAAACTCTCCCTTAGTCATTGGATCAGTTGTTCTGCCTGCTGACCCAAGATGACCTGTTTGTGGAGAACGGGCTGTAGGTTGAATCAGGACACAGAAAGATGGGGGATGGAAAAGCAAGAAGCTGTGGTTTGTGTGCCAGAAGGAGTGAGGGGTTTCCTTTACCAGATCTTTCCCATGATGATATTGGTGAACGAAAGTCTGACCTGTGGGAAAAAATGGTCCTCAAAGTTCCTGAAGAAGAATTCTGTGTCTGCCTTTATCATCCTGAAAGATATTGATCTGTCCATTTAATTAAAACCTACTAGGTCATTTACAGGTGACAGAATATGATAGCGTCGGCCAAGTCTGAGTCTTCGCTGAGAACAATGCAGATTCATTTTCCGTAACTCATAGGTAGAACATTTTGCTTAAAAGGAACAAATTACTGTGCTTGGCAGAGTGTCTGAACGATCCTAACCCACTTGTTGTTTTTCTTGCAGTAGATATGAGCTAGCAATCTTCAGCTGTAATGTAACTATATTACATTAGTGATCACACACATCTGTACACTCATTTCTAATCACCAATGAATCGGTTGAAATGTATGCTTCCCTGCAGTTAAGGTGTGCATGCTCAGTTGTGTCCGACTCTTTGTGACCCCATGGACTGTAGCCCACCAGACTCCTCTGTCCGTGGGATTTCCCAGGCAAGAATACTAGAGTGGGTTGCCATTTCTTTCTCCAGGGGATCTTCCTGACCCAGGGATCAAAATCAAGTCTCTTGTGTCTCCCGCAGGGGCAGGCCAGTTCTTTACTACTGGACCACCTCAGAGACATAAAAAAGGCTGGTTAACTCTAACTAATTAACTCTATCTAATTAGTCAACCCTATTTGAGAACCCAGTTAGAACATCACTTTGAATCAGTCACTGAAATTATTCCTTCAACTCTATTGCCATGGGAACAAGGGAACACAGAGAGATTTTTCATATCACATCAACGAGATTCAGAAATTGCACGCCTGTTCTACTGGGCACTGCAAGTTTTCATTAAAGTGATCCCCAGGGATACCTGTCTTCTGTCACCCTCAGTTTTACCGACCACTGAACATTCGGATCGTGTTGGTGGGCGTGGAGGTGTGGAATGACATTGACAAATGCTCCATAAGTCAGGACCCATTCACCAGCCTGCATGAGTTTCTGGACTGGAGAAAGATGAAGCTTCTGCCTCGCAAATCCCATGACAACGCCCAGCTCATCAGGTAAGGTGTCTGCTGTCTCTCCTTTGCTTCAGATCAAAGAGTACCCCCAGCACACCCGCCCTCCTCTTAGCCTCCCCTGAAAGGCAGTGAAGCTGCATCTGTTCTTCAGAACACACTCTCTGGACCAGGGCCAAAGCGGGCTTCTCATCCCACACTGACTGGAGGAAGGCCATCTCAGCTGAAATTGGGGGCTGCTGAAAAAGTCTTTCTTTGCATACCCTGGGAAACGTATCCCTCAAGCAGATGTCTTATTTCCTTCTAAACTTTGTCTTTTCCCATTTAGGTTATTGCAGAGTATAGAGCAGAGTCTTTGTTGGTTATCTATTTTATAGTAAATCCAGTGGTGTGTATATATCAACCCCAAACTCCCAATTTATTCCTCCCGCTAGGCTTAGTCTTGATATAAAATTGTCCTGAGTAGTATATTTTTTAAAAAGCTCATTTTCTGCCATTATTAGTGAAAAATATTTATGCAAGATCTGAAGATAGTACAGTAGAGTGATCCTGTCGACTGCCTGGAGAAAAAAACTTATTCCTCCTGTTTTGTTGTTTCTCTTGGTTTTCTAGATCAGAGAATACCAGCAGTGTCAAAGATAAACCTTGTGTTCTATTATTTAATCAATGTGTGTTGAGCACACATTAGGAACAAAATGTCTTTTGGGGGCTTCAAACATAACAGATCCACACAGTAAACTTCCCTGTTCTTGGGAATCTCCAGTCTACAGGGAAAAGTGAGTGTTAGTCATTCAGTCATGTCCAACTCTTTGTGACCCCATGGGCTGTAGCCCACTAGGCTCCTCTGTCCACGCAATTCTCCTGGCAAGAATTCTGTAGTGGATTTCCATTCCCTTCTCCAGGGGATCTCCTGACCCAGGGATCGAACCCAGGTCTTCTGCATTGCAGATGGATTCTTTATTATCTGAGCCACCAGGGAATCCCCTACTGGGAGGAGATAATAATAAAAAAGAATATTTCAGAGCATGATAAGTACCATGAAGAAGAGAAAATAAGGAAAAGCATGCCTATAACATAGTACATTATTGGTAACATATTACAGACTCCTTTATATCAAGTAAAAAACATCATAATCTAAGATTGTATGCAGTAGATTTTTTCCTAAACCGAAGAACTTTTTATTAAAATTTTTAAACAACTTATACCATTATTTTTTTTAAGTATGTACTTATTTGTTTGCTGGTACCAGGTCTTAGGCATGCAGAATCTAGTTCCCTAACTGGGGACCAAACCTGAGCCCTCTGCCTGGGACCATGGAGTCTTAGCCACTGGACCACCAGGGAAGTCCCAGTTTATGCCATGACTCTGTTCTCATGTAGCTCATATCACTGAATTGAAAGCTTTGGGGTCAAAGAGAAAGAGACACTTTCCTGTGACACATTGGATCTAGTTTACGGAACATTTATAGGAAGTTGAAAAGCAGCCCTACCCTATGCTCACTTTAGAAAAGGCCTTCGTCTGAACTGAGGTTGTTGGCATTCTCTGATAATTGACTTTGGCCATTTCTCAGGGTTGTTTCTTTTTCTTCCCCCACCCCTGGATATTTGTGGTTGCCTCATATTTTATGCATTGATTAATCCCGAACTACTAAAAGTAGAGTCAGAGTGTTTTGTTTTGATTTCTTCCCCCAAATGGAGCCTGTCCAATTTGAACATCTGGAAATAAATTAGCCTCTTATATAACTTTACTATTTATATATATGTTTAATTGTATCTGTTAAAAGGGTCTATACAGATGTAAATATAAAGCTGTGGTCCCTATGGCTTTACACAGGAGTGTAATAGGATGGCTGGCTGGCTGGATGGATAGATGAATGATTGAATACATACATACAGACATGAAGTTTTATTTTGCCTGTACTTATCCTTCTAGTCCAATTGAGCCCTGCCAAAATGTATAACTTTTCAAATAATGTGTGGTATCTGTATGTGTACATGGCCAAGAAAACATGGCCGTTTATTTGTTTCGCTTAAAGGAGATTCAGCAAATACAATGTTTGATTTTTTTTTTCTGGAATGGGACGGAGTGGAGCAGAAAATGGGGCAGGAGACAGAAAGAAGGTATGGAGGATTGTGGTGGGGCATATCTTTATTAAACAGGCAACATTGTTATGTTCAGGTTCCCAGATAAAATTACAGGATATTCTACTGAATTTGAATTTCAGATAAACAAGGAATAATCTTATTTTTTAACTTTTTATTTTGTATTGGGGGATAGCCAGTTAACAATGGTGTGATACTTCAAGTGAACAGCAAAGGGACTCAGCCATACATATACAGGTATCCATTCTCCCCCAGACTCTGCTCCCATCCAGGCTGCCACATAACATTGAGCAGAGTTCCATGTGCTGTACAATAATTCCTTGTTGGTGACCCATTTTAAATACAGCAGTGGGTATGCATCCATCCCAAACTCCCTAACGATCCCGAGACCCTTTCCTTCCCTCCAACAACCGTAAGTTTTTTCTCTAAGTCTGTAGGTTAGGTCTCTTTCTGGTTTGTGAGCAAATTCATTTGTATCATTTGTTATTAGATTCCACATATAAGGGATATCATACCATATTTCTCCTCTGACTCACTTCACTCAGTATAACAATCTCTAGGCCCATCATGTTGCTGCAGATGGCATTATTTCATTCTTTTAATGGCTGGGTAATATTCCATTATATACATGTACCACATCTTCTTTATCCATTCCTCTGTCTATGGATGTTTAGGTTGCTTCCAAATATCAACTATTCAATTTTTAATTTTTAATTCACTAAGTTAGAATTAATAGCATTGCATTAAACAGGCCTTGATGTCACTACTTATTCACTAAGCTTTCATGTGGGGAAAACCTTCTCCAAAGCCATGAAGTCTCCTTCCAGAAGCTTCCTCCTAGGTGTTAAGGCTTTGTGGGTGCTTCTGCACTCACTCCCAAGGGTCAATCATCTTTCTGCTGTTTTTATTTTTGCAAGCTATATTAGCAGGACATTTTGGAAAAGTTTTCTGGCCCAATTGTAACCCAGTAACATTACCCAGGAAAGCAAAATTCAACAGCAGCAGAGAATCAAGTAAAGCATCTAATGCATTTCATTTGTTAATAGTGATTCTCTCTCTCTCTCTCTCCATTATTCTTTTCAGCCCTAGCAACAGCAGATATTGTTTAAAAGGAGCACCTCGCCCCCCCGCTCACTAGGAGACAGACAGGTTACAAATTATAAATATACAAGTCATGACTGGTTGTTGCCCCACATCTTGAAAACAGAAATCTTTAAGGATTATGGGATGATGAGGCAATTGGAACACACATTTTTAGAAGAACCAAAGATAAAAAGCACCTGCAAACATATTCTCATGTAACTATTTCCATCTTTTTTAAATTGGAATGTAGTTGATTTAAAATGTTGTGCTAGATTTCATCTTTATATATGCTTTTGCAGTTTTTCTGCTTTTGGAATGCAGGAATGTCCAACAGAATTTCAACTGTTAGAAAGCTTCTCTGTATTGATTTAAGAGAGTCCTTTCTTTTATTCCTAGTGGAGTTTATTTCCAAGGGACCACCATCGGCATGGCACCCATCATGAGTATGTGCACCGCTGAACAGTCCGGGGGAATCGTCATGGTAAGCCAGGGGCGTGGAGAAGTCAACAGCAATGTCCAGACCTAATTCTCTTGATGATTTTTGAGGAAACTTACCAGACTTTGTAAAATTAGGTCCTTTTTCTTTAATGCCCCTTGGATATCATTGTTGTTCAGTCACTAAGTCATGTCTGATTCTTTGTGACCCCATGGACTACAGCATGCCAGGCTTCCCTGTCCTTCACTATCTCCTGGAGTTTGCTCAAGTTCCTGTCCGTTGAGTCGATGATGCTATCTAACCATCTCATCCTCTGCCGCCCTCTTCTCNTTGCTTTCAGTCTTTCCCAGCATCAGGTTCTTTTCTGATGAATTGGCTCTTTACATCAGCTGTCCAAAGTATTGGAGCTTCAACTTCAGCATCAGTCCTTCCAATGAATATTCAGGACTGATTTCCTTTAGGATTGACTGGTTTGATCTCCTTGTGGTCCAAGGGACTCAAGAGTCTTCTCCAGCACCACAATTTGAAAGCTTCAGTTCTTTGGGATCCAGTCTTCTTTATGGACCGACTCTCACATCTGTACATGACTACTGGAAAAACCTTAGCTTTGACTATATAGACTTTTGTCAGCAAAGTGATGTCTTTGCTTTTTAATATGCTGTCTAGGTTTGTCATAACTTTTCCATGGGTTGGAAAACTTAGCAGTGGTCGTAGGACTCGAAAAGGTCAGTTTTCATTCCAATCTCAAGGAAAAACAATGCTAAAGAATGTTCACACTACCATACAATTGCACTTATTCCATATACTAGCAAGGTTATGCTAAAAATCCTTCAAGCTAGGCTTCAGCAGTATGTGAACTGAGAACTTGCAGTTGTACAAGCTGGGTTTAGAGAAGACAGAGAAATTAGAGATTAAATTGCTAGCATTCATTGGATCATGAAGAAAGCAAGGAAATCCCAGAAAAACATCTACTTCTGCTTTTCTGACTTTTCTAAAGCTCAAGCAAAGAAGAACTAAAGAGCCTCTTGATGTAAGTGAAAGAGGAGAGTAGAAAACCTGTTGAGTTTTAAACTCAGCATTCAAATAATGAAGATCATGGATCCAGTCCCATCACTTCATGGAAAATAGATGGGGAAACAATGGAAAAACAGTGACAGACTTTATTTTCTTGGACTACAAAATCACTGCAGATGGTGACTGTAGCCATGAAATTAAAAGATGCTTGCTCGTTAGAAGAAAAGCTATGACATACGTAGACAGCATATTAAAATCCTCTAGGCCCGATAGCCAAAAGTCTGAGGTTTTTAACTGTTTACCACTGCAAATGCTTGACATACCTCCTTGCCAGGGTCCAATTTGTCTTTATACTAACCTTATTCTTGGAAGGCAGAGACCTAGGTTTATTGCTTTACAAGGATCACTTTTTCATATAAGAGCTATATATGTTTGTAAAAGGAAATAAAATGGGGAGACTATTTGGGACTTGTTCCTTCTGAAAGTAACAGGGAGGTAACTTTGATGGGCTCCCCTTCGTCCGGTAACTAAAGGGAAGACTCTCATCCCATGTGATTTCAGACCCTGATGGAACAATGTGGTGTCCCCTTCGCACCAGCCCTCAGACAGAGAGTGTCCTTAGAGACCATCCCACCCCCTCTGTTAAACAAACAGAGCCTTGCCCTTCCAAGAAACCATGAATTCGTCCACATTTTTCAAACGGAACATTTGTGAATATTCGATTATATTAAAGGGCTGAAGGAGGAATATTTTGCTGACTTCTCTTTGCTCTTCACGTACTGCCCAGCCTAATCTTCTTAGTGAATATCTGCATGGAATATTTTCCTCTCCTCCGGGTGGCATGGGTAATTAACATAAACACGCACTAAATGTGTAGGCTGAGGAGGCTCTACGGAGGGGTTGCCCCCACCCAGTGGACTTCTGGCTTAAACAGTCTGCCCTCTAGTTTTCTTTGAACTTGGAAGTCACTGGAAAGTTTGTTTTTTGTTGGTGCCAGGTTCATTTCAAGTCAGATCCCAATTGTATTTTTAACAGAGTAGCCTGTAAAGTTTTAAGAGGGAATCATTTTCTCTTTCATGGTTCCATGGTCAGTCGCTACTGACTTTGCCACTTAAAACTTGGCATAAATATTTTTTAGGGCTGAAACTGAATTCCTTATAAGCATGGCAGGTCTGCAGCTGTGGCGTGTTAAACGTTCTTATGACCGATCTGATCACATAAAGAGGCTTTTTAAAGTTCACATCCTTTATTCTGTTTACATGCAAGCATTTGATCAAGATTCCTTCTTTAAAAGCAGACAGGGAAGACTATTTTAAAAAGATGAAAATGAATGTGGGAAAGAGACGCAGGTAAATACACTGCATCAGAAGTCAAGTCCAGGCCAGAATTAATTAACAAGTAGTGTGTTTGACAAGCTGGCCAGCAGTGAAGTCCATCCTTAGGCACATTCCTTATTTGCTTCACGTGAAGAGAACTGGACATGGAACAATAGACTGGTTCCAAATCAGAAAAGGAGTACGTCAAGCCTGTATATTGTCACCCTGCTTATTTAACTTCTATACAGAGTACATCATGAGAAACGCTGGGCTGGATGAAGCACAAGCTGGAATCAAGATTGCCGGGAGAAATAACAATAACCTCAGATACGCAGATGACACCACCCTTATGGCAGAAAGTGAAGAGGAACTAAAAAGCCTCTTGATCAAAGTGAAAGAGGAGAGTGAAAAAGTTGGCTTAAAGCTTAACATTCAGAAAACTAAGATCATGGCATCTGGTCCCATCACCTNAGAGGATGAGATGGCTGGATGGCATCATCAACTCGATGGGCATGATTTTGAGTAAACTCCGGGAGTTGGTGATGGACAGGGAGGCCTGGCGTGCTGTGATTCATAGGGTTGCAAAGAGTCAGACACGACTGAGCGACTGAACTGAACTGAACTGAACTGAAGAGAAACACCATGTCGGCTGAAAGTGCACAGCTCCTTTAGTTTCTATCAAATTCTTGAGGTCAACAAAATCAATATCTTGACCAGATCTAAAACGACCAGACTTTCTCCCACTGTGTCTGAAGTTAAATTCGTGAATGTTACATGCAACCGTGCCTCTTTCAAGGACCCACAAATCTAAGAGGAGGGAAATCCTGTCACAAGGAAGCAGGAATCCTGATTGCATTGGAGATCTGAGTTCTGTACCGTTTCTCCATTTTTCTGAGATTGAGCAAATCTTTCATTTCAGTTACCTCAAGCCACGCCTTTGTATCTAACTGGACTAAAATAGTGTTAGTTTGGAGATAATGCCAGTAATAAAAAGATAGGTTTTTGTCTTATTAGAAATGTAAACCTTTTATCAGGGTCTCTTAAGGGACATTCTATTTATAATCACATATATGTGGAAGAATGTGAAACAATTAGGCAGTTCAAAACAAAACCACGATATTCAGTGACATAAAAGAATTTGATGAAGAGTCTTAAAAAAAAAAAAAAAAGATGAGTTCCTAGAATTTTGTACCAAAGCGTGCTAAATTCAGCATTTTCAGATTGAAGAAAATTGATTTCCTGAAACATTTGCGAAGCTTCCTACGACAGGAAACTGTAAAATCTAAACAAAGTAATTTATTAGGAATTTCATTTATTCTAAGAACAACTTGGTTTGACATGCCACTCTGTTCTTAGACTGAGGGCTACTGAGAAAGGCAGCTACAGCTTTAACTGCCAGCAAACCTATAAAATCTTACATGAGCACACCTCTATCAAGAGGCCCCACAAAGATTATCTGTATCAGGAATAGCATGTTCTCTAAAGCAGGAGTCCCCCCCCCAAAAAAAAGGAAAAAAATAAATAAAAAATAAAGCAGGGGTCCCCAACCTCTGGGATCTAATGCCTGATGATCTGAGGTGAAGCTGATATAATACTAATGGAAATAAACTACACAATAAATGTAATACACTTGAAACATCTCAAAACCATCCCTACCCTCTCCGTTTATGGAAAAATTGTCTTCCACAGAACTGGTTTCTGGTGCCAAGAAACTTGTAAAGCACAGTATCACTGTTTCCTGGGAACCCCCACGTTACCTCTTGCAGCACAAAGCAGGCTTCAGAAAGTCTCCTTCAACACCCAGTGACGCGCAGGCGTTTGCAGAAACCCCAGTCGTGGGCACCGTTTCTGCAGATCATAGTCATTGATTAAAGGTTGAGCTAGTGATATTTTTAAAAATTAATTTCTAATATCTCTTTAGCCAAGCCATGCATGCACTCCACTAAGTTGGGGGTAGCCAAGCAGCTCTTGCTAGATGGAAAACCCGCCTTCCAAAACCAAGCAAAAGGTTGAGTGAACTCCCAGCAGCAAGAGTCAGAGAATCAGGATGCCTCCTGACAAAACGAGAGCAGGCAAGTTGCAATCTTAATTCAGTGAGTCTTCAGACACTTTATTCAATGTAGTTTGCTTTTATGGTGAACTATTATAAAATTTCCAAGTATCCTTCTTTACCACGTAGACAGCAAGAGGCATACCCAGTAAGAATTGCTCAGATCCTGGAGAAATGGGGCCAAGGGGCACCTTCCAGACTAACAGTCCTGCCAGTGCCCCCATCCCCGCAGTGAGCCGATTCATGCCTCCCAGGAGCCCCTCCAACACTAGCAGCCCTGCTGGATTCCAACTGTTCCCCTGCTCGAATCTTTTGATAGCAAACAAGATAATGCATCTGCTAACAGGATGAAGACTCCATAGGTATCATGGCTGCCAACTCACATGAAAGGGAAAAGTCGATGAGAGACATTAAGCAAGAAAGATATATTGAGAACAAGCTATGTATAATGCGTAAAACAATATTAGCAAGCATGGTTCAACTGTCAAAAAAAAAAGGATTGCTCAGATCTGATTTAGACTGTACTAAGTATGCTTCCTCTCCTGACTTTCTATCAGCATCTTCTCAATCAAGGATAAAATGGTACTTATATTACCCATGAAGAAATAAGCTGCCTCTTCCTATTGTTGTACAGTCACTATGTCGTGTCCGACCCTTGCGACCCCATGGAGTGTAGCCCACCAGATCCCCTGTCCANGAAGGGGGTGCTGGGAAAGAGGTCAAAAGGCTGTGACCTATACATTGTGCCCTTGTGTTTTCTTTGAGGACCATTCAGACAGCCCCCTGGGCGCGGCCGTGACCCTGGCACACGAGCTGGGCCACAATTTTGGGATGAACCATGACACCCTGGAGAGAGGCTGCAGCTGCAAGACGGCCGCCGACAAAGGAGGCTGCATCATGAACCCTTCAACCGGGCAAGTACCCTTGCTTCGGCTGCCCCCGGAGCCGGGCTGTGGCCGGGGACGCGTATCAGGAAACAGCTAGGCCAAGAGCTCCCTGGTTTTCTGGCCAGAGCACCCGTGGAAGCTTCCAGAAAGAAAGTCCGTGGACCGGGCTCCTTGGAGAGAAGCACCCAGATTGCAGAGCATAGGGCATGCGGCCTGAGCTCTTCACCTAGAAGTGGTGGGCCTGGATATGGCCTTTGTTTAGAGATCGCAAATAACCCTGGAATTCCCCACACGTGGTTTTAATATGCGCCTACAGCTCCATCTGGGCCTGGTAAAGCCACCGGGCAAAGGGGACGCAATGGGATGGGTCCCAGGTGGGGAGACCTGGGAGAAGGGGAGACCCTTCTCTCTGGGTTGGCCCTGGGGTGAAGGATCTAAGTGTCAGTAGCTTGGGAACTTGTAGGGTCCCTACTGCTGATACCACATCCCCTTCTCAATCTTCAGTGACTTTCCCTCCTCCGTAAGTTACATCATTCTTCCTTGCTTCATGGTTTTCTGAAATTCTATACTTGGTCCACCCAGAAAAAAAAGGGAAGACAGTTTAATTATTGGAGCATTCAGAGGAGGTGGAAATAGATGCAGCTTGGAATGATTCCAGATTCCAATGCATTCCTACGCCTCTAAGGGTCCCTCCCAAACTAGATGTTGTGCTAAAGTAGGAAGATTTTCATCAGTGAAGGAAAACATGCCCTTGTGATGATGCCAGCTTCTTTTTTATACCCTGAGACCTCCCCAGTGCTTATCTTCATGGCACTTCCTAGGCCAAGCCTGCTCCCTGGGTTTGCCTGAGGAAGCCCTGGCGGCCAGAAGCAGGTGTCGATGGGCACTCTAAGGGCCGGCCTCCAAGAGGGCGTGATGTGCAAGGGGCACCTACTTAAAGAGGATTAGAAGTCCAGTGGAGGGATGGACCATTACAGAATGTGGTAATGCTTCTGCAACTGATAGCCTCGGGGGCCTCCCCTCGAATGGCTTGTGAGGCTGGACTGCAGGCTCACATGGTGGGCGTTGTCATTTCAACGGAGCTGGTCCCTGAGCCATCTCATCCCAGCAAGGCCCTGCATCTCCAATCCATCGTCCATCGCCACCATCAGCACAGATATGTGTCGTTTTTGTTCGAGGTTCTGTCTTAAGCACAATTCAAGGGACTCACCAAGACCTCGTAGAACTTGCTTTCTGAGCCTGTGATGGCAGAAGCCAAGAACCTGAGCTGGAAGTGAAAGTACTGGGCTGGCCAAAAAATTCATCTGGATTTTTCCATAACATCTTACAGGAAAACCCAAATGAAATTTTTGACCAACCCAATATCTTAGGCCCAGTACCAACAGGAAGTGAAATGCTGCAAAACTCTAGATTTCAACCAGGGGAACATCCCCAAAGGGGGGCAGTTTGCTCCAAGAAATAATGTGCCCCATGTCATTTAAACTCCCTGGGCATGGGGCAGAATAACTGTTTGTTGGGTATTTGGGGCAAAGAATTTCTCCTTGGGGGTGAGGTTGGGCCAGGGCCTGTGGCTCTCCTCTGTTTTCAGTATTCCACCAGCCCAGATAGGGTCCAGCATCACGGGCAGCTCGCTCTGTGAATCTCTGAGGGTGAGATTGGTGGAAAGTTGATGTGAAATTGAGTGGTTTTCATGCTTTCTCATTCTTGATGAGCTCAAAGTGGTCACAGGAAATTCACTCTGTGCTTAATATCCCTGATTATCAAGTAGGCACAAATATACCAGCCTATATTGCCTCCAAAAATGGCTCTCAAAGACTAAGAAGATTGTGTTGTTAATACTGTTAATGGTTCAGAACTCTTGGTTAAAAAAGGCAAATGGAAGAGAAGAGAATCTAGACTGGGAACACTAGACTGGGATTTTAAGAGACCTGAGAGCCTCAATTCTGACACCAGCTGTTTTTGGCAAAATAGACAAATTAGTAACCCCACTGGCTCTTACGTTTTTATCAGTAAAATACGTGAGTTAGTCTTTATCCCTCTTCCATTCCTTACTTCCATCATCTATTCATTGTTTATTTCATCTGCCTATACATCCATCTGGTCCTGCATCCATCCATCTATCTGTTCATTGTGTACGTCATTCCATCCATCCATCCACCCGTTCTTTTGCTTGCTTGTTCACACATTAAACAAATACTCTGACCCACGTATTTTGTTGTGGGGAACGCACAGATGAGAAAGACCCTCCAGTTCTAAAATTCACACAATTCTGGAGGTATAATAGCAAGGCACTGCTTTCTGGTACCCTCTGTAATTTTGTGTAAAGCCCTTCAACTTGGAACATCTTCATGACAGTGTTTAAGGATTTGAGCCAAATTACCCTGGAGATATTTGAAAATCATAGGTAGAAATGGTATTGTTAAGAGCTCAGCAAATCACTTTAAAAGCTTTTTTTTTTTTTTTTTTTTCCCGGGGTTTTGTTATTGGCTTTCCTTGATTTATACCTTATTAGCGATTTCTAAGTTTCCTCGTTTGCTGAGTTTGTGCTTTTGTGTAAATCTTTTCTATTTGGTTCTCATTTGTGATCCCACATTCCTGTCCAGAGAGTGGTGTTTTTAATTTTCTCGGATGGAGAGAAACTTCCTAAGCAAGTGGGTGAATTAATCACAAAAGCCCACAGTAAGGGGGAGGTCGAGCGTTCCGGCCACCTCAGTCATCCATCACCCATTGTGGAGTTTCCAGGCTGCTTTTAATCTCTGGCATTATCTCAGCGTGGTCATTCTCTTACCTCATAGGGTCCCCATGAGAGTCAGAGAGTGGATTAAATGAGATCATATGTCTTTGTAAATTACAAATCACTCCACAAATAGACAGTGGTGTTATTATTATTGTTTAGCTCACAGGAACCTTGGAGCCACTGAAGCGTTAAAGGCTCTCTTTTTGTCCAGAGTTCCTGCTCATAGTTGCTGGGAAGCACTTCTAGTGCCATGTGAGCGCCCATGGTTTCTGCGTGAATGGCTCATTTTCAGCTGGCCCACGTCCAAACCTTCCTCCCGACTTCCTCCCCACTGCTGATTCAGACATGAGTGGCAAATGGTAAAAATGTGATTTAAGTCTCAGCCCCAAAGGTGACTTGCAAAGAGATGAATCAGGGACTGCTTTCATGATATGAAACTCTCCCAGAATCAAAAAGAAATGAGTGTTGCAGATGGTTTAAAGGAAAGAAATGCATTCCTTAATACCCCTTGTTTATTCCTTATCAAAACATTCCAGAATTATAACTCTGAAATTTCACCAACTGCCGTCATTGACGAATGGGACCCAAAGGCCTGGAAATGGAGGATGGAGGAGGGCTCTTTTAAACATGGGTGTCATGACTTCAGTTGCATGTTACAGAAATAGTTGGAGGGGGTGTCCTTATGGGGTCATATCATTAATTACTACAGGTCTTTGAGTGTGTGTGAGAGTGTGTGTTTTATGTCTTTGGATAGTTAACATTAAGACCTGTCTTGGAAATCACCCTTTGGCAAAAGCAAAACCTGGGGATTGGAGTAAGAGTTTGAACTCAGTTGAGTCCATCCATTAATGAGCTTCTTGGAGCATTTGGCCTTAAGGGGTTGAGGGCTAAGTATGCCACATTTATGGGAGTAAGAAAAATAATTTGAATAATGTGAGCACTTTGGGGAAAGAATATTTAGTATAATAGTAAATGTCACTTCCGAGAGTAGGAAAAAAGGCAGGGTTAGTATTCAGAAATTACTGTCAGAACCTCCTCTTATTTTTTGTGGAAAACTTCCTGTTAAGATGAGAGTTGGAGTCAGAGAGCCATCTCGTGACGGGATACAGCTGGACTGAAACACACAGCGACTCAGTTCCTGCAGCGGGTTATGCACTTGGATGGATGGTGGAGTTATTTCAACCATGAACATGAGAGGTCCTTTTCTTGACCTCATGGAACTTGAATTCTTGTGAGGAAGACAGCCTTGGAAAGCAGTAAATTAAAAACTGCAGGTTAAAAGGAGATCTGTGACGAAAGCAAAGGAAGAGGGTGGAAAGCAGACGTGTTGGCTGGGGGACCGACGTTAATTAGTGGTTTGGGGAAGAATTCTGTGGAGATGACGTTTAAGCCAAGACCGGAAGATGTCCCAAGTAGCTCAGTGATAAAGCATTTGCCTGCCAATGCAGGAGATACAAGAGATGCAGGTTTGATCCCTGGGTCGGGAAGATCCCCTGGAGGAGGGCATGGCAACCCACTCTAGTATTCTTACCTGGACTGAGTCTTTTCTGTTTGGGATTTCACTTTGCCGTTTCTCCAGTAAGATTCTTTAAGGACTCTACGTCCAAAGACCACAAAAGAGCACTTCCACATTGTACACGTGTGTCTCTGAAAGGAATTACTGCCATAGTTTTCATGCTGATCCTAAGATTTGGAGTTTGGGGCTGTTGGGTTTTGTTTAATCCAGGCTGACAAACAACTCTCAAGCAAAGAATGTGCTGCCCCATTGCCAACAGGCAGTGGCGGGCAGTGCGTTCGGCGCCCAGTATAACATGGGCTGAGAAAATAAAGGAGCGAGGGTCACCGCTTGCTCATGAGGGATGTAGATCGTTTACATTCTGCTGAGGTTGGGCGCTCACGAATACCATCTACAGCTAGATCAAATAACCACGTTTAAGGTGGAAGCATCGCCAGTCCACTTCCGCAGAAGTGTGGATAATTGGCTCATTTGATTCCGTTTAATTCAATTCAGGAAACATTCATTGCATGCTTCCTTGTTGCACAGCTGTCCAGACGTGGAGCACAGCTGGATGGCTCTAGCCAAGTTCACCCTCCTCTCTTGAAAACCGAGAGGACGTGGGCTCCACCCTCAACCTCGGACAAGCCAGCTGCAGGAAACAGGGCCGGGCGACTAATTACCTCTAAACCTCTCATTGACTCAGCTAGTATTTTGGGGTACCTGTGTGTCTGATCTCAAGGAGCAGAGTGGGCCAGCAGACCCAAATGGCATGAATCCTGACTTCTAGGCCCT